CAGTGGATGCAATGGACAACCACACTCTTAAGTAAGATAAAAGACACAAAGAAGTAAATACCATGTTGTTTCTCTGGTGTGAGAAACTGAAAGAGTAATAAGGACCAAAATGTATAATAGATATTGTGAAATAAGAAGAAAATATTTAAATGGGAAGGGGCACTGGAAGGGGGGCGGAGGAAAGGAAGGTAAAGGAAAATGAAAAAACAATGAAAAAAGGAAAACAAAGCTTTTGTAAATAAGGAGGGGAAGAGGGGCTGAAGAGAGGGTAGGGTAATGGGGGAAAATAATCTAGATGTATTATGTTCAGATATAAACTTTTTATGATGGAATATGATCATTATATATTCCTAAAATGTACCAATAAATTTAATTTTTAAAAAAATGAAGAAAAAGACTGTAAACTCTCTAGAAACAGCATATCTAACACAGATTGGCTTCTGTAAGTAACCCAGATTAGCTGGCACACAGGAACCACTGAGAATGGTTGAAGGTAGAGGATCTTCAATACTGGCAAGGCTTTCCACTGTGACGCTGAACAAGTGACTAAGGTGATTCCAATAAAGAGCAACCTGCATCATGGACTGGAAGAATTTTGATCATAGGCAGGTAGGAAAGAGGTCATTGCAGTGGTGTGCTAATCTGAGTTCTTCAAAGCAGGAATTTCATGGCTCATTCAGTTTTGTGTCTTCCAAACTAACATACTGCCTGGGACAGAGGAGGAACTCAGTAACTGCCTAAGACAAATAAATGAATTGCCAAAATGAAGCCTTAATTAAAGTTGAAATAGTCAAAAGCTACAAAGTGGAAAAATGTTGCAGACCCACAGACAAGGATATCTGTTGGCTGATAAAATGTGGCAAGGCAGGGTTGAATCAATAAATGTTATAAAACTACAAATACTATATGGTCCACATTTTTTGTCAGAATCAAATATAATTACTCATGAAAAAAAGACTCCTTTACTCTAGAATAAAAACTACTCATCTTGGGAATATTTACTACTATATTTGATGCTGAATATAACTCATCATCTTAAGATAATTGTTTTCCTTTTATCATTGCTGGCTTATAAAACTTTAAGTATATATCGTGAATCTACTCTACTAGGAAGCTCAGTAAAATCTTATTAAATATTGTTTTTATTAACACTTTATCGTTCACAGAGGAAACTACCATGAAAACCATTTCAGCTACAGACCATCCAAAAATACAGATTCAACACTTATAGCATAAATACATATATTAAAAAATACAGAGTCCACCAAAAGATATATGCATGCTTCAGAGTTCACTGTACTAATAAATGTCTGGAAGCTACCGGTGTCCTTTAAGCACTTCTTATAATTGTACATGCCAAAGGTAACTTGTATTAATCTCATGACATCTCAGTAAATTTAGTATTAAAATAAATAAGAGAGTGTTCTTTTCCTGATATATACATTTTTTTGTATATTTAAATATATAAAACACTTTCATGAAGGTATTCTTAAAAGCCTATGGCTTCTATAGTGTATGTTCAATTTACTTTGCATTCTGTGGGTATCTGGCAATGAGTGTTATAAGTATTCGATATATTTGCTGAATTAAAATGAACTGAATTTAATTGATTTAAGAACCATGCAGAGCTTATCAGTGGCTTCTGACAGACTCATGTTCCATCTCCCAGCTCACTGCTCTTTCACACTATCTATTAAATTTATACTGTAAAAGAATAAGATTCATTATAAAAGCAATTTGAAAAATTAAAAAATATGATTGTCAATATGTTTGACCAATAGAGTAACAGTAAATGTTAACAACTAGTTGGGATACAGTGGGAGCCTGATTTTCAGTGTTTTCTAGCTTCAATGGTTTAAATACACCATGGCCTATTTTGAGCTAAAAACATTGTATATGCCGATTTGCAAAATTCAGCATAAAATTTAACAGTTGGCTCTCAAAAGCCAATACAAGCCAACTCCAGTATACCACTGGGAGAAATATTTATATACAGCATACATCTCTAAATTCTGATTTACAGTACTGTCCATCTGTGTTCCCAAACAAAAGTACAAAAGGTAAGGAGAAAGCAGGGAAAACTCACAGCCCATTCCAATAAGCCTGTACCCTCAAGCCACACAACCATCTTCTTTTCAACCAGGCATGTAGTCTAACCCAGAATTCCTTATACCCAGACCAGTGACATTTAAATACTACTGATCATATATACCAGTCAGTTAAAAATCTATATAGATATTTGAGCACACAGCCTCAATATATGTTAATATATTTATTTATAAATTACATTAGCACTAGTATACTAATAATGCATAAACTAAAAAGCATACACAAAAAACATGAGAAAATTAATATAAACAGAAAATGAAATTTTCCTCCCATACCTCAGTGGACTGTCTTATACACCCTTCTAGCTTTACACAATCTACTTCACAGATTACTAAAGTCAGTATCAAAAATAAAATGAGCTACCATGTGCAAGGCCTTAATCCCAAGCTCAACACATAGAAAAATAATAAAAGAGTAAAAATGTAAATAAAACATTTCCTGGAACTATTTTCCACAGACCAGTGATGACAAATCTTTTAGAGCTTTCAATGATACAAACAGCCTACTGCAGCCCACCTGCTGTAGGTTCACTACCACTGTCCTAGCCCTACAACCTTATCTTACCAGATTTTCCTATTCTGGTGCTGAAAAACAGACACCAACATGCTAAAAAGGAGTGAGAAAAGAGTTTGCAAGGTCTTCAGCAAAGCTGATTTAAGAAGTAGCAAGGCACAGACCCTTTTATATAGGAAATGAATGACTAATTTTAGACTCCTTGAGAATAAATGACCAGACAGGCTCCAAAGACACCATTCTAACTGTAGCTTTTACCACTTAAAAACACACATCATACCATACTTAATGACTGTCCATGGACCTTACCCATCTGCATCCAACCAGTAAACTGAAGGCTAGGAGCCATGAGCTTTCTCCAAAGACAAAATATGCCCTCTAAGTAAGCGTAATAATAAGACCTTAAGTTGGGAAACACAGAACAAACAACCTGCCAGATTCATATAAATCAGGTAGAATAGATTGTTTTGTCAGGCAGTCTTGCGGCAGATCACATTTTCAAAATCTTATTTAGGTCAAACATGCTGCTCCCCAATCAAAAACACTATTAATCAATTATATAAGCTATCTTAAATTTCTCTCTTAAGTATATATAAATTTATTAGATTTATATATAAAGTACAACGTAGTTTGTCATATTACCTTAGAATTACCAAAACATGCTGCTCACATTTCTTAGTTTTCTTCATAATTTCTGCACTAACTTTCTATGAAATGTCAAAAAATGAAAATAAAACAACTTCTTCATCAGCATCGTAAAACATGAGCCAGGGATATATCCCAGTGGCACAAGCACCTGCCTGGCAAGCACAAATCCTGACTTCGATTTCTGATAAAAAAAAAAAGTTTAAGGGTTATATTAAAGACTTTCCTGAAGGAGATTTAACAAACTTGTTTAAAACACTTTAAAAAGACAGTGTTAATGTTTTTGTTGTCAATTTTCTTGTCATATAAACAAGCATTAAAAATCAAGTTATTGTCACCACTGCTGCCTGAAAAAAACAGAAAAAGAAATTTCCCAAGCTAACATCTCATCACAACTAGCAACATTTAATATAAAGGAATCAACACCTTTTTAACTATCTTTTTCATTTTTTTGTTTCCTTAGCACATACTTACTTCACATTGTAACAACCAATGCTTTAGGTAAAATGATTTTTAAAAATTTAAGGACTCACACCTGAAAATTTATCTACCTTCCGACCTACTGAATTTTCCTGTTTCCTCCCTTTCTTAAGGAAGATAGGGACCTTTCCCCAAAGGATTAAGTGTCCTACTTAAAAAAAAAAATCACTAGCTCTTAACATCTTGGCTCAGGAAGGTTGCATACATGTACATCTCTTTTCTTCCAAATTCCACTGAAATGACAAGGAAAAAAAGGTAATTTAAAACTAAACTACTAACTGCTCTAGAAAACAAAAAGTATGCTACCAGCAGGTTAGAAGTTTATTTTTTTTAATTGTGAAAGTGCATTAGTTTATTTATTGTTGCTGGCTGAAATGAAATCATTTTACAGAAAGAATTTCCTTATGATCTTCCGAACTGCCTTCGTGGTGACATAAATTCACATGTTCAGTGGATCACATGTAGTCCAGTATCACCTTCTGAGGTCCTAGGCTAGAGGTTAAAAGAACTCTAACAATACGGATATATCTCAGGGGTGGAGCACTATTCAGCATACGCGGGAGTTCCATCCCCACAGATCCACAGACTCAAACTTTAGCATCAAATAACCTACAAAGATGATTAAAACACAGACCACAGAGTTGCATCCCATGCCTTCTGATCTGCAGGGCTAGGGTAAGGTTTCAGGTATAGGTCCTAAGTTCCCAGGTGCTGCTGATTCTGCCAGTCAGAGGACCACATTATGAGAACCATATTAAATAAAGATCATCAAAAATGGTTCTTATTAACCCTTCTCAGCATCCTTGGAGAGTTTAAAGAGGACAGAAAAACCATTTTTTGCAGAGGCAAATGAAATATATTAAACAGTTCTGGAAAACTAGAAAAAATCATTTCTCAATTAAAAATTAATTTTTCAGAGGGCTAAACAACTAAAATCCAATATAGCACTGTGAACAGGTCTAAGGCATCTTGAAAATCACAGCAAATACAAAGAATTACAGAATAGAGAGAAAAAGTAACAAGCATAAGACATCAATTCTACCTAATAGGTTTCTGGAGAAAAAACAAACACATCATCCAAAAAAAATCAATGAACAGAAATTTTCCCTCAACTGAAAAGGATTCAGTCTTGATACTGCAGGAGCCGTTTCTAAGCAGATAAAATTTTTTACAGTTAACAACTAAGCACAATTTTAGGACAATTTTAAACTTAAAAGCCAGTCAGGTCTGGTGACATTTGCCTGTAATCCCACCTCCTTCAGAAGCTGTGGCCGGATTGTGAGCTTGAGGCCAACCTAGGCAACACAATAAAAGTCATTTTTAAAAAAAACTTGAAATTCATAAAAAAAAAAAAACTAAAAATTTTGAAAAAATGAAATACATGAAATTATAAATGAATCTGCAGCCTAACATCAGATACTTTATTAGCATGCTAAAAGAAAGTGGTATACTGTTTTCAAAATTCACAGAGAAAATTATTTTGAATCTGGAATTACATTTCTCATTAAACTATTAAATATGAACATCTTAGGAATTAAGAACCAAAAAGTTAAACAAAAAAAACTGAGAAATTTTACTTTCTATACATATTATCAAAGTTCAAGTGAGTTTTAGTGAGCTAAAATTAAGGTTTAAGAGTATGTTTTCTTGCCTTCCCTAGCTCCCAGGCGGTCCCCACATTCCTTGATCAGTGGTCCTCCTTCCAGCTTCCAGGTCAACAATGGTGAACTGAATTTCTCTCATATGAAAGCTCTCTGACTTTGACTCTCTTGCTCCCCTCTTTCACTTATAAGGACCCCTCTGATTACACTGAACCTACGCAGATAATGAGATCTTCAATCTCAAGATCTTTTACTTAATCATATAGCAAGTTTCTTGCCATGAAAGGAGATACATGCACAGACTCTAGAAACTAGAATGTTGACATCTTTGGCTGGTCATTATTCTGTCCCACCAAACTACAGAAGGATTCAAGAATGTCTTCCAGGAAAACAAAGTTCAAGAACGAAAACAGATGAAACAACAAAGTAGGCTCCCCATAAAAGAAAGAATTGCAAGGAAATTGAAAAAGAAAAAAGTTGACCTTAATTACAGAATTTTTTCATTCTAGGAGCACAACTTAAGAGAAACATGACTACATTTATTATGCCAAGTAGTACTTATTACTATTAATATTTTCCAATTTTCAGAAATAACAGAATCAAAACACGTAAGTTTCTACATGAGTAGTTCTGGGTTCTGGCAGATTCTGGGCTCCCTAAATCAATATCAGACCTATACAGATATCACACATGATTTTCCCGTATGTGCTATCTACTGAGAACTGAATTGCATGGTAATGGTAGGAAATAAGCTAGAAGCACAGCCACAGCTACACATTTTAAATGATTCTTGCCTATACTTTATAAAATAGGTATAAAGGAAAAATTCAAAACAATCCTGAAAAAAATCTGTGTTTTTACTGATAATTTATGCCAATCCAAATATGTTCACTATTCAATTTTATTTTAAATATCTAGAAAGATAGATGACAACTAACATGACTGGGAAAATGAAAAATGGATATTCCAATTGACTGCAATTAGAATAAAACAAACTTTTAAGTATATACATACAATGTAAATTGTGCCTACTTTTGATCTAGCTTTATTGCCAGGAATCTATATTACAAATATTATTAATTAGCATGTAATTACTACATAACATTCCACTGTACTATTATTAGAATAAGAAGGAAAAAAAGGGAACTAACCTAACTATTTCATCAAAAAGGAACTGATTGAGCCAGGTATGGCAGTGCACACCTATAATCCCACCACTTGGGAGGCTGAGGCTTGAGAATCACTGTGAGTTTAAGACCAGCCTGCGTCACATAGTGAGTACAAGGCCAGTCTGAATTACATAGTGAGACTCTGTCTCAAAACTACAAAAAAGAACCAGAATTCGTTAAATATTTTATGGTCAGCCACTAATGCAGCAGCAATCAAGAATGAGGCATATAATGAAATGACAAAAAAAATGAGGCCTAACACAGAAAGATATATATATACACATACATATAGATCCATATTTTTTAAATTTTTATATGGAGAAGAAAAATTAAGTGGATGTATATAAAGTTACTGCCTACAGTTAACCCTGTGGTATTAAAGGGAGAGTTGTTGAGCCTTTTTTTAATGTTGCACATATTCATTTTGTTTTGTGCTGTTTTGTTTTGAGACAGGGTCTCAAAATGTAGGCCAGGCTGGCCTTGAACTCACAGTGCTCCTGCTCTCTCAGCCTTGCAAGTGCTGGGATTACAGTAGTGCACTACCACAACCGGTTTCTATTTGAATTTTGTTTCAATTAAAGATACTTTTAGAGTATCTTTTCCTTAAAAACAAAACTAACATTTAAAAACTGAACCCAGAATAATCTTCTGTAGATAGTAAATGCTTAAAATTGGTTTAAGATGTGACATCCATATAAGAACATGAAAGAGTTCTCTGGAATACAAAACAAATAATATAAATGCATCATCATTATCATTAAATTAAACAAGTGCTAACATAGTACTTTAAGTTCCTTAAAAATGTGCGACTGAGAGAAATTATACTATACAGCTTCTGAGAAAAAGAAAAATAATATGCTATTTATCACTGCCTTAAAAATATTCTAATGCATTAATATTTCTATTAATACCTACCGAATCATTCGCTGCCAGTGCAAGTGCAAGGTTTACTGAAAAATAAAAAAAGTAATTAAATTTAGTAACTTTCCTTCAGTTAAACTATTGTGCCTTTTAATATTTTTAGTGTAATAACCAAAGCACAGAAATTTTTTATATATCTCCCTTACTTGTAAAGAACAAGAACATGGAGAAAATTCAGAAAATAAAAAGACCAAAAAAAACACCTAATTTTGCAATATAATTGATATACATTTGTCCAAAACTTAAGATTTTAAATAGTCCATTTGTATTGTTGCAATTTTGTTCAAATAATTCATTTTATTTTTTAAAGTTAATGAAATATATAGTTAAATAATTGTCAAAATCACATTTTGTAGAAAAATTATATACCAATTAATAAAAATAGATATAATCTTATTGTCCTTTTTAAATGCTGGTATGACAGGAGTTCCAAGTATCTAATACATAAATTACCCTTATATACAAAAGGCTGGGCCACTGTGCAGAGGTAAGGGAATAAAATGTATTTTCCAAATGCCTATGGCAGCAAATCCCAGAGACATAAAGGAGGAAAACTAGTGTCATTATTTACCCTACAGTAAGTATACAGACATATGAGAAGAGAGATCCTAAAGTAATATATTTCTAAACTTAATAAATAGATACTCATACTTTCTTACAGAACAATAAAGTAAATGTTTTCTTTAAAGTAGTTAAGAGCATACATTTAAGACAAGTTCATTACCACCTACTATATAAATCTGATTAGGTTATTTTAACTGTAAATCTGTTTCCTCCTCTACAAAACAAACAGAATTCCTACTTTACAACTATTGAGGATTAAATGAAACACTCTATGTAAAATACTGATCCTAGAAAAGTGATGCAGAACCTCTTAGAGTTTTTAGTGATACAGATAGCCTATTGCTGCAAGCATGCCATAGGTTCACCATCATTGGCCCAGAGCATGGAACTTGATAAACTCATTCTTATAAAATAATTCTGAATTTCAGATACATATAAACATAATCCAACTTTTAAGCAGAAACCTTAGAGATTAACTGATCTTAAAGTTCAGTTCTTCCTGTGTACGTACAAGAAAATCAGAGACCATGTTTGTACTAATATCAACATTCTAACCCAAAATAACTCTGCACACATATTCAAATAGTAAGTATTTTGAAATAGTTTGGGACAATAATAAATATACACAAAGGAAAGAAACACAATACCAATCAAGTTACATTACTAAGGCTCAGGTATACTAACAAAGCTGTTATAAAAATGTACAGACTAAGCTACTTGGAACACCGAGTATAATGTTAAAAGAAAAGAAATGAAGATGGATATTTCTTAAGCACCTACTATGTGTCATTCACTGTATACTGTCTCATATATTCTCCTATTTAAATGCTTTAACATTCCACAGAAACAGATCATCTTCCAGCTAAAATAAGCAATTTGTTTTTGAAAAAGGGCTAACCTACAGACCCAACAACTAACACTGCACAAAATCCAAAAACTTATACTTATGATCCTGAAAACACTTCCCATTTTCATCCAGTCCAACCAACTACAGAGCATGCAAAAAAGACTCACATCATTGTGTGAGTAAATGAACTTCAATCTTTCAAAAATAGGAAGAAGCAGATTCTAGAATCAAAGACTTTAAAAATAAAGCATCAAATAGATGGTAGCCCCTCAGAAAAGAAAACAAAAATGTGTAGGACATGCATGAATTCGTTAAGAACAAACCACCATTTTTAATAATAATATATGTCAAATACTAATAAGAGTATATCATGAATACAATATTTGCTAAATCTTAATTTCTTCAAAACTCTTCTACAATTCTCTTCAACTTAAAATGAAGAGGGGAGCTGCTGACACTCTATTTGGATTTACAGCTGGCTGTAGTATAATTGTTGTATCTAGAAAGGATAAAACAAGGCTTCCAGTCAACACAAGAGATCTCCCACAACATTCACAGAATCCTGTACCTGGGCTTTCTTATTTCAAAATGTTGACCTCGATGGAACTAAAGAATTTTAATGTAAATATGCTTTATGATTTTAGGTTAATAGTCTAAAAAAAAACTCAAATTTTTAAAAATTTTGTCAGTCTAGAACTAGGCCAAAATTGACAAAGTATATTAAAGATGATCATTTTTAATCAACTGCAAAAAAGGACTGCTTGGTTGCCCTACTAAAATGACTGAAAATTCAATAAAATAAGTGAAAGATATAAGTACTTTATGATAATACAAGTCAAAGAACAAACTTGCAATTACAAGATGAACAAATTCTGCAGACCTAATGTATAACATGTTGAAATTCATTAGAGTAATCTTAAATAGTCTCATCATACATACACACACAAATGTAACTAAATGAAGTTATACATGTTTTGTTTTGGTTTGAGCTTTTCCCAATACTAGAGATTAAACACAAGACCTTGCTCATCTAGACAAGCCCTCAACTACTGAGCTAAATTCTCAGCTTGAGGTGATGGATGCATTAATTAGCTTAATTGTGGAAATCATTCCACAATACACGTATCAAAACATCAAATCCCACACCTTGAATATGCACAATATTTGTCGCTATTCCTCAATAAAGCTGAAAATGTAATTCGATTTACTGCTGGTGATTTTCTCTTTTATATTTACAAGAATAAGTTTTCTAGAAATAAAAAATTTCTTCCAAAATTTTTGGAACTAACTGAAATCCTAACTCTTCCAGTTCTGGTGGCACTTCCACATGTTTTGAAAGAGACAACTATAATCAATAAAAAGGGCTACCAAAAAAAAATCTTTGCTTGTAGTACATTATTATGGTACTAAAAGATAGTAACTATAACAATGTTAAATCTCTCATGCATTTCCAAATCTTAGTTCTATGTTGACTATAGAGACGGTGAAAATGGCATTATGGTTAAATGAAAAGTCATACAAACAAGCTCATTGCAAATATCTAGCTATATGTCCACCAATAAATACTGCAAAAGAACGGAAATAATTTAGTACTAATGTTACTACACGTTTTAAAACTCACAACAATCAGTTGTGGGGGTCACAGGCCTAAGGGGTTAGCTTCTTTAATTTGCTTAACCGTCTCATAAAAGAGGCTTAGGTTTCATACCTAGATAAACTGAAGAGCAGCTAGTCAGACACCTGACCAGTTAAGGAGTAGGCAACTTAGCTCTATAGTTAGTTTTGTCTAACTCCATAATCTAAGTTCCTATTCATGATCAACTCCTAATATTAAGGAACGGTTAGAAACTTCAAAAATACCATACAAAAAAACTATAAGTTCTTAATCAGTATCAGAATATCCTGTAATACCTGCTGTAGTAGACTTTCCAACTCCACCCTTTCCAGAAGCCACAACTATAACTTGTTTAACACCTTCTATGGGTTTCTGCTTTGGAAGTCCTCGGGACATGATTTGTGTTCTTCTCTGTTTTAGGTTCTCACTCTCAGCGCCAGATAACTTCAGAGAAAAAAAAAAAAGAAAGTTTTTCTGCTGTAAAAGTAAAAACAACTCGGGCTTTGCCATTAAGAGGGATTTCTTTTCTAATTCTCATCTCCGCTAGTTCATTCTTTATTATTTATCTACTATCAGTAGGATCACCATTGTAAAAGTACGTTTAAACTGAAATTTGCCAAAACACGCTTAATTTGAAAATTGGAAAATAAGTAAGTTGCCTCTGTATAAAGTCCTGCACGTTTGCCTTCTCTAAAACATATTTACAAACTAACCCCAAATCACAAAAGGGATGTGCAAGACATACACCATTGTTCTAACCATCTTTTTCAGGGCCCGCCACGCCTCATCCTGGACCAATTATAGACCTGTCAGAAAATGGGAAAGTGCAGCCATATAGCTCTCAGTGTAACTCCAAAGGAGGGCAGGAGCCAAGAGAGTTGAGTCCTTTGCAAGTGGCGAACAGGAAACCTGCAGCCGAATCGACCTGCATCGCCAACCCGCCCGCCTCCCTTTGCTCTCTCCGCAGCACCACGGACCTGGCGGCGAAAAACAAATGCTCGGATATCCCTAAGCGACCAAGAGGCCAGAACACTACCCCGAAGCGACATGCCACTAAAGAGTCGCTGCCAAATCCCCATGGCTAGCAAGCCTGCCCTGAGCCTTGCTGGGAAAGCGTCGCGGCGGGCGCGGAGTGATGACGTCACGCGGTGAGCTGTGCTCTGCAGCTTCCCCGGAGACCTGTTTCTTGGGTTACTTCGGCACAGGAGCTCAGTTTTTTTGGTTCTGTATGTAGCTAGGTACAAACATTTGCAGCATTTTACCAAATATTTGAAAAGCATTTTCACATAAAACACCTCATATAATCTTTACAGAAGTGTCAGGGTAGCCAGAAGACTTACTAATATCCTCTTTTTATTAGTAACACAATGTGCCTTTAGAAAGTTTAAAACAGTATTTGACTTAATTTAACAGAAGTTGGAAATGATGGGACTTTTCCATCGTGCACAGTACCGAATATGGTCACATAAACACAACCACTGTTAAAGATTTTAATTTGTTTCCCTGCGTGATCTACAATAAGTCTGGTTTTCACCATTTGTGTTGCTGACAATTCCCTTAAAAAGAGGTCATAGTGCTTTATTAAATTGGAAAAAAGGAAAGCTAAATCTAAAACAGATCTCATGAAGCAAGTTTTGCTCAAAAGAAATTTAAGGGTCAGGGTGTAGCTCAGTGGTAGGGCCATTTTATACCACTGGCAAACTTTTAAGTACTGGGAAGTACCTACGGGGTTTTAAAAAAAAAAGGAGTTACAGTGAGACAGAATTTGAGGGAGGAAGTAGACTTTATCTCGGTGAAAGGAAGGAGGTATTCCTATATACAAAGCAGATGAGAAAGTGAAAGAAATCACTTTAGGAGAAAGAGCTCAAAAACCGATACAAAACGCCTCTCCTGGCAAGAGGATAATTTGGGTGTGGTAAGATTTACCCTGGAATAAACTCCATAATATTTTCTGGGATTGATTATAATTTCCTTCATTTGCTTATTTGTAGGTCTGCTGTTGTATCCAAAATACACCATTCAGTGTATCTAATTTGAATTTTAATTATCTTTTAACCTTATTGGGCATAACAATATCAAAAAATTACTGCAAGACAAAATATTACCAACAAAGTGCATTTTATTTAGTAAGTTCTGAAAAATATTTATTGCTTTTTATCCACCAATTTCACAACCATATTGTTTCATACAACTTTCTTTATCTTACACTAAGTTTGAAAGCTGTCTCTTGTTGTATATCACTTATTTATGACACATTTTTTCAACTACTTTTATTTTAAATTCTTTGGTGCTCAGTTTTTATAAATTGTACAGCAAAAGCTTGTTGATAAGGGGTATAACTGTCAAAATAATCCTTCACTAAAGAAGAAATGCTGAATATTCATTTCTCTCCATGTAACTTTGGGAGTACTTCTTATTCATTTAACAAATATTTATTAAGCAGCCACTATGTGGTAAGCACTATACCAGTCTTAGAAGATTTATCACTGAAACAAACATAATCCTTCCAAAGAATTTACAGTTTAGATCAAAAGAAGGGATAAATTACCAAACAATTGCAGTCTGATGATATGTAAAGGAGAAAAGTGCTCAGTGCTACAGGAGTACAAAGCATTCACTTCAACCCAGAAGTTTTTGAACAGGATAGCATCTAGCCTGCACTGTGAGTGTAGGTAACATGTAGGAGTGAGATGGAAGAATGACTAGAGGGATGTTTTACAGGGATAGGAAATGAACTGCAAATGTATATCTCATAAATGTGTACATTATTATGTCAATTAACAATAGAAGACACAACAACTGCAAATAATCTGCACAGTTTAAAGATAGAGTGAAAAAAGATTTGGATGGAAGTCACAAAGACTGGCCCGATCCTGGAAGGCTTCATATTTCATGTAAAGGTTAAGCAGGAATGTTACCTGATCAAATTTGTGTTTTAGAAGCATCATTATGATCACTGAGTTTGAAAGGGGGGATTTGAGAGTTAAGATCACAGATAAGAAAACATAAAATATTCAGTAATCCAAAAGAAATAGTAAAAGCTTGATTTAACATCTCAGAATTTCATTTCACTTCACTTATCAACAAAATAGATAATACTTACTTGTAGAGTTGTAGTCAGGTTAAATTTAAGATAATGCATGTAGAATGCTTATTATACAATGCACATGGTCAATAAACATTAACTGTTGTGATCATTATTGGTTGCATAGAAGTTTGTTATCGGGTTCTAACCTAGATCCCCAGCTCTTCCAAAGGAGTCAGGTGGCAGAAGTTAAATAAAAAGAGACAAATTGTATGAGTTTTAGGGCTCCAGGAGGGCCAAAATTCTTTAGTTAAAGCTCAGGAATCCAAGGGCTACGACAAAGCATTCTCTGGATTAGTCCTTTTTATTAGGACTAAGACAAAAGACTAATAAATTAAGGAAATGAACAGGACTTGGAGGTCACTTCAAAGACTTCCCCAAGTAGTAGGTTAACCCAATTTAGGAAAACCATCTTATCTCCAAGATAACATTTATGGTAGGATTGAGACTGCAAGAGTGAGATGCTTGCAGCCACAGTTTTGTATACTTAATGTTGGAGCCAAGGTGTCTTCAGCTGTGGCCTTATCTTGCTGGCCTCACAGGCCACTACAGGCCTCAGCCAGGACCAGTGATTCATAGACACTCTGAATCAGCTCCCATCGCCAGGCAAGGGGCGGAGGCCTAGGACAGACTCACAGATAAACATAGAAAGCCAATTAGTAAAATTTAAATCCTTCTCAGAGCTGCTTTGTAGTGGTCTCCAACAGATTGTGACATGGGAACTACCTGAATGGACTGTCATTCCCTGAGAGAGAACATATGATTAAGAACAAGTGAGACTAATGTCTGTAGAATGAATGGATCATTTGTTGTTTCACCATTCAGCTGATTCAAATTTCAGAAAAGTAATAGAGATGCCCATTGTTTCTTCACCAGTGGCCACTTACAGGGCTATTCTCCCTTAGCCCCTAAGACATTTGATCCCACCCCATTACCACTAATTTGATTAAAAATTGATGCACAACAAAAAAAATTGGACCAATCTGATTGTTTCACCAAAGTTCAAAAACGGAAGTAATGTTACTCAATTTGAGATTCTTATTTAACCTCATATGTCAGAAAGGATTTATTTTCTGCTTTTTACACAAAGAAGAAAAAGTCAATGCCAATAAAAAAGAAAGCAGATTATAAGAGATCGTGTGCTTGTGGAAGAAAAGAGAAGTATGTGCAGTAGTTTCCGGGACTTTCTAGTTCTGGTTGTAGTGTGTTTTGAAGTGCAGGCTGGACTTGCCATCAGTAGGTCCACGAGCTTATTTATGTCCATCCAGTAAATTCTCTTCCTGCTGTGGCCTAATATGAGTGGGTTTCTGTGTACTTGTAATTATGCTGACATGTGTGTTTTCATAAATAAAGCAAGACTTTTTTCCTTATATTACATGATATCGTTTTCTGACACAGAAAAATGTCAGAAAGATGTCTGAACTTTTTTTGAGACTAGTTCCCACTAATACAGTGCAGGCCAGCATTGAACTCACTGTGTAGCCCAGGCTGGCATATGATCTTCCTGCCTCGGTCTCTGGAGTACTGAGATTACCATCATGTGCTACTATTTATATTCATTTTTGCCAAAGAGAGATACATTTGACTGCAAACAGCAGAAAACTCTACAGCTGTCTTAACAACCAGGGGTATATTGGTCTTATATCAAAAGTTTAGAGGTAGACCCTAGAAATCTGACATAATAGATCCACAATGTCATCATATTTCAAATTATTTGTATTCCATCCATCATCTTATGTCTTCATTTTGTCCCCTCATAAGATGACCACTGCACCTGCGGGCATCAAAACCATGCTCCTGATAGGAAGAAAATGGAGTGACGAATATAAAGAATTTTCCCCTCTGACTTTTTCACTTGAGACAAGAAGCCCCACATCAATGCCGTACTTATATACACACAGAATTGGCTGGAGAAGCTGAGAAATCCAGCACACAGACTATAAGAAAGCAAGGGAGAAGGTATATAGAAATGGATACTGAGTGAGGCAAATCAATATCTGTCCTAAAGAGACTATATAAGATTTCCTGAGACTATAGGAAATGAAAAGAGTAAGAAGAAAAGTGAGAACTTAAAATGTCTTTCGACCCATTTCATTATCACTTTCAACTATACAGGCTGGAAATCCATATACTAATTTTGTCAGTATTACACACTAACTGTAGACATAGTTCTGGGTTTGTGTGATATAGTTAGAGATAATGTAAGGAAATGGAGACGGGGTTGCTTTTATAGCTGAGGCTACTCCTGTATCCAACTTTGACCATAAATGTGACACCTGGAGATATGGCAGATATGGAAAAGCACAGTGTCGACAAACACAATGGCAAAAGTCAATGGCTAAGTATAATAAAGTGGAGATATAGCAATCAAATGATGTAAAAAAGTTAAGCTGCTGTCCGAGGCCTCTTGTTGTGTGTGATAACTACTAGGTTAAGCCTCTGTTAGTTAGAATTTCTGTTATTCAAACTAAAGTAATCTACGCCTGTTAATACAGTGGCCCCTAAGAAGAAACTCCATGTTCTGTACTTACGCCTCCTCTGCTTATCCAAGATTTAGCCCCAGCAGAAAGGGGCACAACAGAATCCCAAATCTGTTTGGGAGATACAAGAACAAGTGTTTTGTTTAGGCAGACAGGTCTGGGTGAGCCACAAAAGTGGCTGAGAGAAAGCTAATCCCAAAAAGACCTGAAAGTCATGAGCAAGAGAACATTTGGCAGCAATCTGTGTGGTTAGGCAGGTGGCATCTCCATGGATACTGGTTTGAATAGATGATGACCTGAGGATTAAATTCGCCACACTGTAATGACATTTGGATATTACATAAGCTTCCTGTAGCTTAGCTACAGCCCTGGTGGAAACTGTCTATATTGTTTCCACCACCTTGACAGAAATTTTTAAATAAGTGAATACTGATTGAAACGAAGAGGGTTCTTTTAAATGTCTCCTTTGTCTGGGATAATATGTCGTGTTATTTTTCAGAAAGAAAGTGTTTGTAACTGCTATGTTGGCTGTCCCCCTAAAAAAGATCCCGCTTA